AGAATTTGTTGAGGATGTCTCGAGCGAAACGCTGGTTTTGCAGAGCCGACCGCGACACGGAAAAGCGCTCCTCGCGCAGGAATTCCGAGGATGTCTCGACTAATTCGTTTGTTTTTGTGCGATTTCCTGGAATTTTGGCAGGATGTCTCGAGCGAAATGCACGACCCCACCCTAGCACGACCATACCCCAGCACGACCACACCCCAGCACGACCAGACCCCAGCACGACCCCACCCCAGCACGACCCCACCCCAGCACGACCATACCCCAGCACGACCACACCCCAGCACGACCCGACCCCAGCACGACCCTACCCCAGCAAGACCACACCCCAGCACGACCACACCCCAGCACGACCTCACCACAGCACGACCACACCCCAGCACGACCACGCCCCAGCACGACCACGCCCCAGCACGACCACGCCCCAGCACGACCACCCCCCAGCACGACCACCCCCCCAGCACGACCACAGCACCCCAGCACGACCACACCCCAGCACGACCACTCCCCAGCACGACCACACCCCAGCACGACCACACCCCAGCACGACCACACCCAGTCGCACCCCCGTGGAATGTTTCGTGGCGTGTCTGGTTGAGTGGTTGCCTGTTCGTGGGGTGTCTCGTGGAATGTTTCACGGGGTGTCTCGTGGAATGTTTCGTGAGGTGTCTCGTGGAATGTTTCGTGAGGTGTCTCGTGGGATGTTTCGCGGGGTGTCTCGTGGGATGTTTCGTGAGATGTCGCCCAGTTGGGTATCGTGAAAACGTGACCATGCTGCACATGTCTTTATCCCTTTCCGGGTTCGTGGGTCCACCATGTTAGCCCTCCCAGGAGTCGAAAATGACCCCCCTGACGACCCGCGAAAGGCCCTCTCCAGGCCCAGGGGGAGGGGGTAGGGGGAGGGGTAAACCCCTCCCCGAAGGAGAAGAAGGGGGGTTGAGAACAGAGAGAGCTCTCCAAACCACTCACGCCCAAAGAGCTGGTGGGATTTCTCGCGTGTCCCCGACGATATCGAACGCCCGTGCGGATCGCCTCTGCCGTGCTCAACATAGAACTTGTGTTTGTGTGTGTGTGTGTGCGCGCCAGTGCCTGACTTCCGGGCACACGAATGATGGTCGAATCGTTCTCAAACCGCTGGTTGCACGGAATTGCCCTTCTTGCGTCAGAAACTTCGCTCCCAGTCGCAGGCCCCAGCGCCAAAAGGGTAACGCGCAGAGCGAGCTCAGCCTTCCTGGCTCACGTGTTGCATGCGCGCCAGATGCGTCACGATGTGCGCATTGCGTGGCTCGACGGCTTCTATTCTTCAAACTCTTTCGTTATGTGTCCTCGTATTCCTCGTGTGGCACGTCTCGATTGCTTTGCTCCTTGCTCGTGCCTCCTTTTGATTGTGGCGTCCCGCTTAATCCTCCCGTGGTGTTGGGCGCAACGGGTGCCCCAGGTGACTTTCATCGAGCTTTTCGTTGCACCGATGGCGATTGCCATGGTGAGGTGCCCTTGGAGGGACGGCAAATCAGGGCGTGTTGGGCACAATGTGCAGCAGAGTGTGACATCATTGGGATCGTTGTGAAAACGGGCGCGTTGAGTTCTTTCGACGCGCTAACGCACCACTCGTTTCCGTTCTCGTGCTCCACCCATGCGTATATCGAGACAGTGCCAGTCGACATGATGTTCCTCATGGTATGTCGTCGCTCTATCATTGCACTTTTGAATTTCGTGTGCTTATGTGGTTACCCGTGCCACATTTGTTAAAAGCCCATCTCGTATCGTGTTCATAGATCTTGACAGTGCCAGTATCAGTTGTAGTAGTTGTGTTATCTTGACTCAGCCGTGACATTGTTGGCTGTCGTCGTATTACAATGTAGAAGTAGTCGCCGACGTAGTGTTATCAGTCTTGTTGGCGTTGTTGCAGTAGTATTCGTAGTGCTAATCGTAGGATGCGTACGAATAGTGGGATGAGCTACGGGTAGTGGTGTTTGTGAAGATGCAGTAATTTTGGTTGGTGTCTGTGGTCGTAGTGGCATGGCGTACCCTGCGTGCCGAGTCTCTGAGAATGTCGCGAGCGAAACGCTTGTTTTGCAGCGCTTGAAAGGCTTGGGCGCTGCAGGATGCCCAGGTCGTTCTGGGCGTGCGGTCGGACTGTTATTTACAAAGGATCGTGGCCCTGGGAACGCAGATGCCTCGTAATTTGCAAAAGATCCTGGCCCTGGGAGCGCGGACGCAGCGTAATTGACGAGGGATCCTGGCCCTGGAGGCGCGAACCCAGCGTAATTCACTAGGGATCGTGGCCCTAGGAGCGTGGACACTGCGTTATTCACGAGGGAGCGCGGCTCTGGGAGCGTGGACACTGCGTCATTCACGAGGGAGCGCGGTCCTAGGAGCGCGGACGCAGCGTCGTAGAGAAGCGTAACACAGCCCCTGGCACAGTAGCATCACCATCGATACCTGGCACGTTCCCTGGCGCCTCCACTGGGCGCGTCGCGCGATGCGTCCCCCGGCACGTCCCCCCGGCACGTGGCGCGTCCCGTGGCGCGTCCCCCTGGCATATCGCGCGGCCCCCTGGCACGTCCCCTGGCACGTCCACTGGCACGTTTAGTGGCGCGTCAACTGGCACGTCACTGTGCGGCGCGGCACAGCGTCATCACCATTGATATCTTCAGCATTACCACTGCCCATCGCCCAATTGAGGTGCTTGGGAACGTCTACATTCCTCGCAGTTCTAAATCCCTTTCTGGGTTCGTGGGTCGATCATGTTTCGTTTTCCCCGGAAAGGGCGTAGGCCCAGGATTCTCTTTTAGTTGTTTACCCCTGGAACCGACGGCTCTAGGGCCGGCGAAATTATTTGTAATAAATTTCGAGGTAAAGTGTGAATTTGCAGTTGAACAAGTGCGTTTTTCGTGTGCCCGCTCGAGGAAAGTTTGCCCCCCATCTCGGATCCTCGATAAATAACGGGGTCCGCAGACCACCGCTTTCCTTTGTTAAAAAAGGGTGCGGCGCGTTGAGTGCGGAATCCACGAGACATAACGAGGTCTGGAGCCCAGAGTTCTCTTTTAGAAGTTTGCCCCCGGAATCGACGGGAAGAGGGCCGGCGGAATTATTCTGCGATAAATCACATGCGGGAAGAGGGCCGGCGGAATTATTCTGCGATGAATTACGTGGTAAAGTGTGAATTTGCACGTGGTCCCGAGCTGGAACCATGTGTTTCCACGTGTCCACGCCACACAGTGGGGGTATCTAACATGGTGGTCCCGAGTTGGAACCACGTGTTTTCACGTGTTCAGGCCACCCAGGGGGGTATCTAACATGGTGGTCCCGGGCTGGAACCGTGTGTTTTTATGTGTTCAGGCCACCCAGGGGGGTATCTAACATGGTGGTCCCGAGCTGGAACCACGTGTTTTCACGTTTCCAGGCCACTCAGGGGGTACGTAACATGGTGGTCCTGGGCTGGAACCAAATGTTCCAGGATTTCCTTGGATTTTGACAGGATGTCTCGAGCGAAACGTTTGTCCCCAGCACGTTCCGTAGCGCGTCCCCTTGGCACGTCCCGCGGTGCGACCCCATGGCACGTCCCTTGGCTTGTCGCTTGGCGCGTCCCTTGAGACGTTCCGTGGCGCGTCCTCCTGGCATGTCCCCCTGTCAATTAGTTCTGGGGCAGCTACTATGTGTTCAGGCAGCTCGAGCTTAAGATCCAGATCAGTTCGTTCAGGACTCGGATGCAAAGGAAGACTCGATCCACGACGCTATGAGCACAATCGCGGCATGGCTCATCGCAATTCAGCACGGTGCAGCACAGCACAGACTTCGGCACGGTACATCAAGATCGATACACTCAGCCTTGCAATTTGGCACGTTTCCTGGCACGTTCCGTGGCGAGTCCCCCTGGCACGTCGCGTGGCGCGTCCCCTGGCACATCCCGTGGCACATCCATTGGCACGTTCCGAAGCGCGTCCCCTTGGCACGTCCCGCGGTGCGACCCCATGGCACGTCCCCTGGCACGTCGCCTGGCGCGTCCCTTGGGACGTTCCGCGGCGCGTCCTCCTGGCATGTCCCCTCTGTCGATCAGTTCTGGGGCAGCTACGATGTGCTCAGGCAGCTCGAGCTTAAGATCCAGATCAGTTCGGTCAGGACTCGGATGCAAAGGAGGACTCGATCCACGACGCTACAGAGCACAATCGCGGCATGGCACATCGCAGTTCAGCACGGTGCAGCACAGCACAGCCTTCGGCAGGGTACATCAAGTTCGATACACTCAGCATTGCATTTGCCCGTCACCCAATCAGGTGTCTTTGAAAACGTTGCCATGCGTGACAGTTCTATATTCCTTTCCGGGTACGTGGGTCGATCAAGTTGCAGGAATTTCGCTTGGAGGGCCCAGGAGGTATCTAACATGGTGGTCCCGAGCTGGAACCACGTGTTTTCACGTGTCCAGGCCACCCAGGTGGGTATCGGAGGTGAGGGGGTGAGATCGAAATGGAACGTAGAGCCCCCCTACCCGGAAATCGGTTTCGGTTTCGTGTTCTTGCGTGCCGTGCGTGCGGGCGAGGCGAAGCTGCGTGGGCGGACGAGAGGAAAGTCTCCTGTGGCTGAGGCGCGGCCGGACCAAATGACTCCCTTCCGGCAACCGGTGGCCCGCGGTGTCCCGCCGGTGTCCCGCCTCCGGCTGAGGCGCGGCCGGACCAAATGACTCCCTTCCCGCAACCGGTGGCCCGCGGTGTCCCGCCGGTGTCCCGCCGATGTCCCGTCGGTGTCCCGATGATGATGATGATGATGATGATGATGATGATGATGATGATGATGATGCTGATGCTGATGGTGATGGCGGTGACCCGATGATGGTGATGATGATGATGATGATGATGATGACGGATGATGATGATGATGATGATGATGATGATGATGATGCTGACAATCATGATGATGATGACGATGATGGTGATGATGATGATATCACTGATGTTGATGATGATGATGGTGATGGTGATGATGATGGTGTCCCGTTGATGATGATGATGTTGACGATGTTGATGATGATGATGGTGATGGTGATGATGATGATGGTGTCCCGATGATGATACTGTTGATGATGATTATGTTGCTGATGATGATGGTGTCCCGATGATGATGATGATGATGTTGATGATCCTGATGATGTTGATGATGAGGTGATGATAATGATGATGATGATGATGATGATGATGATGATGATGATGGTGTCCCGATGATGATGATTTTGACGATGTTGATGATGATGATGATGGTGATGGTGATGATGATGATGACGATGGTGTCCCGATGATGATGATGATGATGATGATGATGATGATGATGATGATGTTGATGATGATGATAACGATGATGGTGTCCAGATGATGATGATGTTGATGATGAGCATGATGTCAAGGTGATGAGGATGATTTCGATGATGGTGACCCGATGATGGTGATGATGATGATGCTGTTGTTGATGATGATGGTGTCCCGATGATGATGATGATGGTGATGACGATGGTTACGATGATGATGGTGTTCCGATGATGATGATGATGATGCTGTTGATGATGATGTTGCTGATGATGATGATGATAATGGTGCCCCGATGATGATGATGATGATGATGATGATGATGATGATGTTGATGATGTTGCTGATGCTGATGAGATGGTGATGCTGATGGTGATGGCGGTGTTCCGATGTTGGTGAGGGTGTCCCGATGATGATGATGATGATGATGATGATGATGATGATGATGATGATGATGATGATGATGATGATGATGATGATGATGATGATGTCGATGATGCTGGTAACAATAATGGTGTCCCGATGATGATGATGATGATGATGATGATGGTGATGATGATGATGCTGCTGATGGTGATGATGGTGATGCTGGTGATGAGGTTGATGATGATGGTGATGAGGTGATGATGATGGTGATAGTGTCCCGATGATGATGATGATGCTGATGCTGATGATGATTATGATGCTGATGATGATGATGATGCTGATGATGATGATGCTGATGATGATGATGATGACGACGATGGTGGTGATGATGATGTTGATGACGGTGATGACGATGATGTTGACGATGATGATGATGATGAAATTGATTGTGAGATCGATTGTGATATGGATAGCGGGATCGATAGTCAGACCGAATGTGAGATCGATTTTGTGATCGATAGTGAGATCGATAGTGAGATCGATTGTGAGATCGATAGTCAGATCGAGTATGAGATCGGTCGAATGAGTGAGATCGATCGAGCGAGACCGATAGTGAGATCGATAGTGAGACCGATCGAGTTAGACGTTGGTTCCTCCCCCCGAACTTCCGTATCAGCCGAAGGGTGGTCGTATAGGTCTAACATGATGGTCCCTAGCTGGAACCACGTGTGTTCACGTGTCCAGGCCGCAAAGAAAGGGGGCGTCTAACATAGTGGCCCTCAGCTGGAGCCACGTGTTTTTACGTGCCCAGGCCGCATATGGGGCGTATCTAACATGGTGGCCCCGCGCTGGAACCATGTGTTTTCACGTGTCCACGCCACCCAGGCGGCTATCTAACATGGTGGTCCCGAGCTGGAGCCGCGTCGTTTCACGTGTTCGGGGCACCCAGATAGGTATTTAACATGGCGGTCCCGAGCTGGTACCATGTGTTTTCACGTGTCCAGGGCGCACAGAAGCGAAGTATCCAACATGGTGGTCCCGCGCTGGGACCACGTGTTTTCAAGTGCCCAGGTCTCCCAGGGGGGGCATCTAACATGGTGGTCCCGAGCTGGAGCCACGTGTTGTCACGTGTCCAGGCCACACACAGGGGTATCCAACATGCTGTGCCCGAGCTGGAACCACGTCGCTTCACGTGTCCAGGGCACCCAGGTGGGTATCTAACATGATGGTCCCTAGCTGGTGCAATATTTTCATGCGCCCAGACCACACAGGTGGGTATCTAACATGGTGGTCCCGCGCTGGGGCCACGTATTTCCACGTGTACAGGCCACCCAGGTGGGTATCTAACATGTTGGTCCCGAGCTGGAACCACGAGTTTCACTTGTCGAGGCCACCCAGGGGGTGTCTAAGATGTTGGTCGCGCGCTGGAACCACGTGTTTTCACGTGCCCCGGTCGCCCAGAGGGTGTATCTAACATGGTGGCCCCGCGCTGGAACAGCGTGTTTTCACATGTCCACGCCACCCAAAGAGATATCCAACATGCTGGCCCTGAGCTGGAACCACGTCGCTTCACATGTTCAGGGCACCCAGGTGGGTATCCAACATAGTGGTCCCGCGCTGGAACCACGTGTTTTCACGTGCCTAGGTCGCCCAGGGGGGTATCCAACATGTTGGTCCCGAGCTGGAACCACGTGTTTTCTCGTGTGCAGGCCACCCAGGCGGGTATCTAACATGGTGGTCCCAGGTGGGTATCTAACATGGTGGTCCCGCGTTGGAACCGCGTGCTTGCACGTGTCCACGCCACCCAGGGAGTATCCACCATGGCGGTTCCGAGCTGGAACCATGTCCCACACAGGAGGGTATCTAACATGGCTGCCCCGAGCTCAAACGACGCGTATGCCCCCTGGCATGTCGCCTCGCACGTTCCCTGGCACGTTCCGTGGCGCGTCCCGTGGCACGTCCATCGGCATGTTCCGTAGCGCGTCCCCTTTGGCACGTCCCGCGGTGCGTCCCCATGGCACGTCGCCTGGCGCGTCCCTTGGAACGTTCCGCGGCGCGTCCTCCTAGCATGTTCCCTGTCAATTAGCCCTGAGGGAGCTACTAAGTGCTCAGGCGGCTCGAGCTTAAGATCCATATCAGTTCGGTCAGGATTCGGACGCAAAGGAGGACTCGATCCACAACGCTATAAAGCACACTCGCGGGATGGCACATCGCAATTCAGCACGGCGCAGTACAGCACAGCCCTCGGCACGGTACATCAAGATGGATACATTCAGCAATGTAACCTGGCACGTTCCTTGGCACGTTCCGTGGCGCGTCCCGTGGCGAATCCCCCTGGCACGTCGCGCGGCGTGTCCCCTGGCATGTCCCGTGGCACGTCCATTGGCACGTACAGTGGCACGTTCCGTAACGCGTCCCTTCGGCACGTCCCGCGGTGCGTTCCCATGGCACGTCGCTTGGCGCGTCCCTTGGGACGTTCCGCGGCGCGTCCTCCTAGCATGTCCCCTTGTCAATTAGCTGTTGGGCAGCTACTATGTGCTCAGACAGCTCGAGCTTAAGATTCATATCAGTTCAGTCAGGACTCGGATGCAAAGGAGGACTCGATCCACAACGCTATAGAGCACAATCGCGGCATGGCACATCGCGATTCAGCACGGCGCAACACAGCATAGCCTTCGGCACGGTACATCAAGATGGATACACTCAGCATTGCAACCTGGCACGTTCCCTGGCACGTTCTGTGGCGCGTCCCGTGGCGAATCCCCTTGGCACGTCGCGCGGCGTGTCTCCTGGCACGTCCCGTGACACGTCCATTGGCACGTTCCGTTACGCGTCTCTTTGGCACGTCCCGCGGTGCGTTCCCATGGCACGTCCTTTGGCACGTCGCTTGGCGCGTCCCTTGGGACGTTCCGCGGCGCGTCCTCCTAGCATGCCCCCTTGTCAATTAGTTGTGAGGCAGCTACGAGCTTGAGATCCATGTCAGTTCGGTCAGGACTCGGATGCAAAGGAAGACTCGATTCACAACGCTATAGAGCACAATCGCGGCATGGCACATCGAAATTCAGCACGGCGCAGCGCAGCACAGCCCTCGGCACGGTACATCAAGATCGATCCACTCCGCATTGCAACCTGGCACGTTCCTTGGTGCGTTCCTTGGCGAGTCCACCTGGCACGTCGCGCGGCGCGTCCCCTGGCACGTCCCGCGGCACGTCCATTGGCACGTTCCGCAGCGCGTCCCCTTGGCACGTCCCCCGGTGCGTGCCCATGGCACGTCCCCTGGCACGTCGCTTGGCGCGTCCCTTGGGACGTTCCGCGGCGCGTCCTCCTGGCATGTCCCCTCTGTCGATCAGTTCTGGGGCAGCTGCCATCTGCTCAGGCAGCTCGATCTTAAGATCCAGATCAGTTCGGTCAGGACTCGGATGCAAAGGAGGACCCGATCCACAACACTACAGAGCACAATCGCGGCATGGCACATCGCAGTTCAGGCGCAGCACAGCGCAGCCGTCGGCACAGTACATCAAGATCGATACGTTCAGCATTGCAGTTGCTCGTCGCCCAAGCAAGTGTCTTTGAAACGTTGCCATGCATGCCTTACATTTCTATATTATTTTCCGGGTTCGTGGGTCGATCATGTTGTTGTCTACCTCTCTTTTGCTATAGCTGTTTGACTCGTGCCCTTATTGGACTCTCGCACTCCCTCGTCTCTCCTTCTGCTATATGTGCGATAGCCGAGGGGGGGAGGCTCATACCGGATCTCCGAATCACTGTGGATACTCTGCTGGCGAACTTGGACTTGCCAGCCGTTTGTCTTTCGCTGTTGCAGTTTGGGGATGTAGTGCACGGGCTCGTTTGTATGAGCAATCACAGCTTCACGCATTAATTTTCATGCATAAAATCAATCGTATTGCTTGTTCCTAACGGCAGATGTTGTTGGTGTATTGAGATTTATCTTGCCCGCCCAGCGCAGCCCTCTTCTTCCCAGCCGTTTCACCGCTCTGCCTGTTAAGGCGCCGTCTTGTCTGCATGGTCCCCTTGGCAGCTTCTTTGAGCGAGCTTATATTATAGCAAATGGTTAGTATCGGTCGTTGGTTATGAGTTTTGTGTTGCATCACCTGCCATTTGTTGAAAGCGACTTACTACTTCAATAGTCGAAGTGCTTCAGAGCACTTGGCAACCAATGGGGGTGGCCGAATCCCAGTCATTTGGAACAGCTTTCTTGCTCCAAACGTCTATGTACTTCCTTCGACCGACGTGTATTTCGAGCTGTCCTTCAGGAGATGTGGTTTGACCTCTGGGTCCGCGACACGGATCCGCCACCGTCTGACGATGAGCGGGTTCTTGCTCTCAGACCTCTTCGAAGTGGTTCGTGTGTGTAGGTCCGCGTCATGTTCAAGAACTATCTTTTGGCGCAGTTATAGCTTTCTTTTTCCCGGAAAGGGCGTGGGCCCAGGGTTCTCTTCTAGTCGGTAAATTTGTCTTCGGTGCCATGCTTGAAGATGGCCGTCGAATTAACCCTGTGCGGGCGATAATAAACCCTCTGGGATAATAAAGTTCGCGGTGCCCGCGGGGATAATACAGGATTTTCCCGGGGAAGGTAAGTTATGATTATGATGAAGATGACGATGATGGAGGAGGAGGAGGAGGTTGAACCAGGCGCACTACAGAAGCCTGACTCGAGCGATCTCGAGGTTCGTGGCTACTTGCCCGCAGAGGCGCACGACACAAGGGTGACTCGAGCGATCTCGAGGCTCGTGGCTACTTGCCCGCAGAGGCGCAGGGCACAAGGCTGACTCGAGCGATCTCGAGGCTCGTGGCTAAGCAGGCGCCTAGGTTTTGCCAGCGCTAGAGAGGTCCTTTGCCGATCTGGCCAAGAACCCCCTTTTGCGCTGGACTTCGAACCACTCTCCCATGCAAGCACGGCATCCTTTGGATTCGTCCTTGCATGGGAGACATTTGGTGCAAAGCTGGGCGGCGGCGCTAGCCTCCTCGTAGCTGCCGTACTTCGGCTCGGCCGCCGTGGGGCCCTTGCAAGGGTTGGAGTTGTGCTTGGCCTTGGCCTTGGCCTTGGCCTTGGCCTTGGCCATCGCCGCGTCGTTGTCGCTCGCTTCCTTGAGTGTATTGATGAACTCGTTCCCTCGAACGACCACGGCGTGGAGAGCTGCTGGCATTTGGCGGCCATCGCCGCGGATCTCGCGCAGGGCGCGCTCGATCCGGCGGCTTGCCCAGAGGCCGCAGCTCCAACCGTCAACTTGGTATCGTTTGTTGCTCGGTGCTGGGCAATGCTCGCCAGGGCCAACGGCGCCGAGCTTGCGGAGGATCCTCGTGGCGGCCTTGGGAGGCCGCGTGTGAGCCCGACCCACGGTTTCTGAGGAGGAGAAAAGCGGGGTACACCTCGCTCGGAAACTCCCGGGCGAAGTGAACGCCACCTTCCCCCCTTCTGAAATCGTGGGGTGTAGGCGTGAGTTTGCATGTGGCCCTTTCGGGCCTGCTTGGCGTTCTCGGACGGCTGCTTGAGGGCGTCACGGTAGTCCACCTCGACGCCGCCCCCGTCGATCCTCGAGACCCGGCGGGGATTGCCGCAAGTGCCCCCTGCCCAGGGCGCCTCCAGGATCCGCTCCAAACCGGAGCGAAACGCTGGAGGCACCCTGGGGTGGGGGGGCATTGCAGCGACCGCCGACCTTGAGGTACGTGTAGTGCGCGGGCGCTTCGGAGTGCACGCGGACCAGCACGTGCTGGGCTTTGTCGACCCTCTCGGCCCAGCGTTTTTGCTCCTCGGGTTGCTGGGCGGCGGGTGCGTCCTCGCCCTGGCCGTCTCGAGCCCAGGTGACGGCCGTCGTGGGTTCGACCACCAGCACGTTGTCGGGGACGCCCCCTCGCTCCTCGATCTCGCCCAGCAGCGCGTGCGCCGTGTCCAGCTCGAGGGTGTCGCCCTTGAAGATCTGCTCGCAGTTCATGATCGCGTACTTTTTGGCGAGCGCGGTGCGGCGAGCGTGTTTCGTCTGGCGCCAGTCGAGCTTCTGCGGCTTGGGGAACTTGTAGTTCTGCTCGATCGTGACCTGTGGCGCTCGGGATTCGCAGGCGCTCGCAAGCTTCCGCCTGCTTCCGCTTCCGCCTGCTTCCGCCTGCTTCCGCCTGCTTCCGCCGCCCCAGGCAGAAGCAGGCTCAAGCTAACGAGTGCCTGTAACCCTCGACGCCTCGCTGGTGTTGATCTGGAAGATCGCCGCGGTTTCCACCTCGAGGACGCGCAGGCGGCGCTCGCTCTCGGTGCCCAGGACTTGCCAGACGTCCTGCAATCTGCCGCGCCTGCCCTCGCGGTTGCCCTCCTTGGCGACGCGCGCCACCTTGCCGTGCCGGGGGGGGGGGTCCTCGCAAGCCTCGAGGCCGCTTTTCTGCTTGGCCTTGTCCTTCTTCTTGCTGTTCTTCTCCGCTTGCCGCTTCTGTTTGAACTTCTTGGAGAAGCTCGCGTGCGCCTTCGGCGGCCGGCCTGTGAGCTTCGCCAAGGCTGCGCTTCTGCTGAGGTGCTCGAGCGAGGTCTCGCCGCCAGCTTTGCCCTTCTCGCGCTGCCACTTGCGAACGTGCTTGCCCGGGAACTGGCCCGCGAACTTGGGCGCCAACTTGTTCCTGCGGTCAATTGCCCGTGCCAACTTGTTCCTGTTCTCGAGGGCGCGCGGGAACTTGGTGTCCTTGATCCGCTCCTCTGGCGGTTTGAGAACGCCCTTCTGCTCGTCGGTGAGCTCGAGGTCCATCTCTCGGAGCTCCAGGAGGCAGGGGTTCTCGCCATCCTCGTAGTACCTCGGCAAGCCGTCGTTGTGAAAGCAGTTGCCGTCGAGGACGCCCCACTCGGGCACTGGCGGCGCGCCCTCGGGCCAGCTCTGGATGCCCTCGAGGCGCTCTTGCGCCAGGCTGTTCCCGATGCCGCGGCCGGCCACGCTGGAGTAGCTCCACGGCCCCATGCCCGTGACGACCTTGAGCTCGCCTTGCTCTGTCGGCCGGGCCACGAGCATCCGGTTGGCTCGCAGCCCTTGGAGCGGCACCGCGTCCTTGTTCTGCTCGCGGGTGTAGGCCTCGGGGGCGCAGTAGAGGCACTCGTAGGGCCCCCATTGTGTCGGGGACCTGTGCTCGTTCTGGGGCTCGGCCTTGGTCTTCCGGGGCCAGTCTTGCCCCCTGGCCCAGTGCATCTCGGCTTTGACCTCTCGGATCTTGGCCGTGAGCTGGCTGTGCTCGTGGGCGTCGGGCTCTTGCAAGAAGCGCGTGGCGTCGGAGGCCATGGGCGCGTGGATGATATTCTTGAGCCACGCTCGCAGCGCCATTGCCTCGGCCCGCTGGCTCAAGAGGCAGTCTGCGAACACGAGGCTCTGGCCGTGTTCCTGCTCGATGAAGTCGATTACCCAGCTTGCCGCCGGCTCGTCCGTCCAGGCTCTCGGCTGCCCCCGCGCGTCGATGGCCTCGAAGACCCTCGCGCGTTCCGCCTTGCGTCGGCCCTTGAGCAGCGCGCCTAGGGGCTCGCCTGCTCGGAAGCGCTCCGTCTCGCCATCGCTCCGCTCGCAGGTGGCGTCTCGCCGCCAGGTGCCCCCCTCGAGGTTCATGTCGCTGACTCGGCAGTGCCCCGCGCAGGGGGCAAGGGGCGCGCTGCGCTTCTCGGCGGACCTCGGCCCCCTGCTCGGATCGAACCAGTTCTCGACCGCGGAGACGTTGATCAGGGTGAGCTTGCACTCTTCTCCTGCGCTCGAGTAGGCCTGTTCCACTTGCTCCTTGTGGTCGGGGTGGTCTGCGAAGTGCTTGGCCTTCTCCGTCTCGAAGGCTGCCTTGTTCTGCTCGTTGCACGTCTCGCGGAACTTTTTTGCGGAGGTTCGCGAGGCGTTTCTTGACGCCCGCGGCGTGCACTTTTTGGGCGCTCAAAATGCGCGCGGAAAGAATGGGCGCAATGCCCCGCAACAACTGTTGCGCCGAACCAACGGCGGCCGCTGTTGGGCAGGCGGCCTTCTGTTTCGAATGGGCGCGGGCCGCGGCGGCACCGACGGCGAATCCTGTTCGACATGAACAGGAACTGCTGTTGGGCACTGGGCCCTTCCTTCCGCGCCCATTTCGCTCGCGCCGAGACCTCGGTCTCGTGGGCGCACGCGCGCTCCTCGCCCCGGAGCTTGGGCGGGGGCGCGGCGGCGTCGACGACGACCGCGCTCGCGCAGGCCCCGTGCGGGGCGAAGGCCTCGGGGCCCCCGCAGAAGAAGCGGGCGTATTCGGATCCGCCCCTCGCCACCAGGTGCACGAACCTCGGTAGTAGTAGTAGTGGTAGTAGTAGTAGTAGTAGTAGTAGTAGTAGTAGTCGTCGTAGTCGTCGTAGTAGTAGTCGTAGTCGTAGTCGTAGTCGTAGTCGTAGTAGTAGTAGTAGTAGTAGTAGTAGTAGTAGTAGTAGTAGTAGTAGTAGTAGTAATGTAGTAATGTAGTAATGTAGTAATGTAGTAGTAGTCGTAGTAGTAGTAGTAGTAGTAGTAGTAGTAGTCGTAGTAGTCGTAGTAGTCGTAGTAGTAGTAGTAGTAGTATCAGCAGTAGTAGAAGTAGTAGTTAATTACTTGTTCGTAGTAGTGGTAGTGGTAGTATTTCTATTATTACTACGAATAGTACCTCCTAGTGGTACCTGGCATAGTACCTGGTAGTAGTTGTACCAGGTAGGTGTAGCACCTGGTAGTACTAGTAGTAGTAGTAATAGTAGTAGTAGTAGTAGTAGTAGTAGCAGCCCCTGGTTGTGATAGTAGTAGTACCTGGTAGTAGTAGTACCTGGGAATAGTAGTAGTAGTAGTAGTAGTAGTAGTAGTAGTAGTAGTAGTAGTAGTGGTGGTAGTAGTAGTAGTAGTAGTAGTAGTAGTAGTCGTAGTCGTCGTTAGTAGTAGTACTAGTAGTAGTAGTAGTAGTAGTAGTAGTAGTAGTAGTAGTAGCACTTGTAGTAGTAGTAGTAGTAGTAGTCGTAGTAGTAGTAGTAGTAGTAGTAGTAGTAGTAGTAGTAGTCGTAGTAGTAGTAGTAGTAGTAATACATAGTTAGTAATAATAATATTATTCTGAATAACTCGCAGTGGCCAAGTCTTTGTCGCTGGCCAAGTCGCTGTCATTGCCGCGGGCGCGCGTGGTGCGTTTGGCGGCCCTCGCATCTGATCTCGCGCATGGCGCGCTCGATCCAGAGACTCGTCCAGTCACTCGTAGCAGTAGTTGTAGTTACGAGTGGCACTCGTAAGTATCACTACGAGTAACTAGTTCCGACCACCGCCTACTACTCGTATTCGTAATTACTACCACGACTACGACTAACAACTACTACTACTACTACTATTACGACAACTAC